CCTCTCTCCTCTCCTCTCTCCTCTCCTCTCCTCTCTCCTCTCCTCTCCTCTCCTCTCCCCCTCGTTGCTCTCACCTGTTCCCTTCTTGCAGACGTAGGGCAGATTGTAGTTGCAGGGCACGTCATTCCACTTGCCATTCTCGTGAGCGATCATAACCACGCAGTCTTCTCCTCCGGCAAAGAAGTTGTCTGGCTGGTTTTCACGCCAGTTCTCATATTGCTGCACACACACACATGCACAAAAAAAGAACACACTCATCTGAGTCACACACTCAGATGAACAACTGTGTCTTTTAAAACATAATTTTCTTGACGTCAGAGACTTGTTGCTGATCAAACGTCTACTTTTTACCAATGATCAATTCTGTGCAGAACATTTTCTCCCTTAATTTCATGTTCTCTATTTAACGTGATGTTTTTGTATATTATGATGGGAAATTAGGAAACAACTACAGATACAAGACAACATATGTTGTTATTATCTGTAGATAACGCTGTATCACAATGAAGCACTGCTGTGACACTGATTGTATTCAGTTTGTCTGGAGCCTAAACAGACACAGCTTGTTCCTCACCAGGTCCATCTTGTCGGTCCATTGAAAGTCGTCCTCCACCGTACGGTCGTTTAACCCGATCCAGGTGTTGTCATGGCTTAGACCTGAGTAGGAGGTAAGAGGAAGTGAATACAGAGAAATTAAAAAGGCACACAGTACAGTACACAACACACGAAAGGTAGTCCAAGAAATAGCACCTGACAATATAATACAAACACAGAAGAAATGGGAGTTGAGCATTTTTCATTTAATAGACCAACTTTTCCACTTCAGCCAAGTTGAAAACGTTCATCACTTTTAAAAAATGGGTTATTTGCGGCATTTCGTCTTCGGGTTTTTATGTGCAAATTGACAATGTGCATCAAACTGGTGGAAGTAAACACACGAACTGTTTTGGATTGCAATAGATTTCCTGATACTGAGTCCAACCATTGAACAGTATAAACTGTCCACTGTAACACAAAAGACACCATGGAAAATAGAGGTTTAATTCCCTCCATGCATTAGAAATGTGTAACACACACATTGAATAAAATCATCCACAAAGCAGAACAGGTGATGTCACAGAGATTAGGGTTAAAATAAGTTCTCGTGTGGGTCGATCTCCAGAAACGCTTCTACACTCCTCAGGATGCAATGAATCGATTTTTTGGCAATACGACAAAAACAACCACAGAAAATGTCGGCATTGCACGTTTCTACAAACCACGGATATGTTGAATGTCCACGTTTCTGAACCAAAAAACAAGTTTTATGTCGACCTCGTATCCTGCTTGCAGAGAAACACAATGCCTCGATCCTAACAACTACACTCTAAAAATAACAAGCGCTCATTGATGTTTCATATTGTGCCGTGGGTTATTCTATGTGCAACAGGCTTCATGTGTGTTGCACCTGTCCCTGAACTGTGACCAGCAGCAGCTGAGAGATCTCCCCTCTCTGTGTGCAGATATACTGTTACCGTCTGTGATGCACTGCTGATGACAGTTCTGTTTGTGTGAAAGGAAATATCACTGATGGAGTTTTGGGTTAATCTCATCTGTGTGTTTTTGAGGGGGGGGGCGCCTGTGTGCACGGTCGTACGGGGGCGCGTGCTCGTGCGAAATGGAATTTCAATCATGGTGTATCTGCTTAACATCATTACCGGGCCCATTAATCTCCCTAATGTCCCTGATCCCCTTATTGCAGGGGTGGAGACGTCCATTTTCGAGGCAATTAAACACACTTTTTTGGTAACTGTGCGCGCGTGGAAGAAAGATGAGTGCTCGACGGACGGGCGCCGTCCTGGCATCTGTCCGAGACAGAAGGTGGATCCAATATTACAGAGGGATTGCTGTTGGTAATCTGGCTGCGGAGCAAGAATGAAACGCCAAAGAAGGACTGTGTGGATAGTTGCAACAAAACGAAAAGAGTCAAACAGCATTTGAGCATAATAATTCAGGACAACATGATTTAAAATACCAGGTGGGTGGACTTTGCTACACATGACAACCATTGAATCAATGAGTCTTAAAAACGCTTTTTCTTTAAATACAAGCATCGAATGGGACAATTTGTTATCAATCTATTTAAATAAAATCAAGTGCCACTTCTGTCTTCCTATTGGTCGTATTCAACCCAGTTCAACATCACTGACACTTGCATTTCCTTCACTGGACATTTTTTCACCAGTTTAGAGACAAATCACATCCTTCGAAAGAATAAGATAGTATAGTAAATGTTCTGTCACAGACACTTACATCAGAGCCCGCAGCAACTTTTCCTTGCCACGAAAGGTGATGCACATTTATGTGGCTGAACCGACTTGGCTCCTGAGGGTGTTCTTCAGCGGGGAGCTCAATGAAAACCCTTCAGGGGCCGTTCAGAGCAGATCCAGACAGACATTTATCACTGAGTTATGGAATACACACAAGGCAAGAGCTGCCATTGCCAAGTATGGTAATAATAAAGTAGAAGGGAAGATATAAATCAATAGTAAAAGCAGTGTGTCGCTGGCAGACAGGAGGGGGAGAGATTATGAAGGCCATGTAATTGCCATTATTTAAATTGACTGGTGACTTGTTTGAATGTGATTGGTGGCCGTGAGATATAATTCTTGAGTTATAGAGCTGTGAAGTAGGGAGAGACGCTGGTTCCATGAGCTTTAAATATCAGTTTGAAAGTTTTTGCTTTTACGTCTGTAGGTTCATGATCTGGTGATCCTGTTCAGGTTCTTTGTTTCTGAGTAATCGTGTTCCTGTTTTTCAACATTTGAATATTGAATTTGAATTCTCATGAGTCTCAGCTGCTGTAGCTATTGAGATAAAGTGAGTCACCTCTAGAGTCAAAACTGCAGCAAATTCAATCTCCACAGGATGAACCCAAACCCCAATCCCAGACTTTTCATCCATCATCAGGTCAAAATGAAATGTGTCCAATATTTACATGAACAACAACAATTTCAGTCCTGATACCGATACCTGGGAAGTGCTCCAACTAGCAGTTACCTCACATTACAGACAACGAGTGGAACTTATCTGCCTAATTTATAACTTCCCACCAACACACATTTACGCAGGCTACACTGTCTGTCCTCGTGTCCTCGTCTCCTCCCCGTCCTCCACCCACCTCTGATGAAGTTCTGCTCGGCCAGGCTGTGGATGCTGGCCAGGTGGCCGCTGTGCTCCCTGCAGTCCTTCTCGGCGTCCTCCCAGGTGTGTCTCCGGCTGAAGTACCTGTAGCAGTGGCCGTGGAACTTCCTCCACATGTGCTCGCAGCCCTCAGTGTCTGCAGGTGTGCGGGGGGGGGGGGGGGGTAGAAGGGGGATATAATTGAAAAAGACAGTGATTAGTCAATCGGAAATCCATGGGAAGAGAAATGTGGGTTTTTTAAAATTGCTAAACCCCCACAGCCGACAGATGCAGAAGAATCATAGCGCTGCACAGGAAAAGAGTAGGAGGATTAAGGACCATTATTTATGTATTTTCTTTTTTGTATCGGATCACAGCAATGTGTTGCAGCACACAAGATCTAAATACTACTCCCCCCCCCCTCTCCCTCCTTTCTTTCCTCTGCCCTATCTTTCTTTTCGTGCCCTCTGTGACTCTCCTCTCCTTCTCCATCCCTCCATCTCTGCCTCCGTGGCTTTTTCTCTTTGATTTTATTTGGACTTTTAATCCACAGCAGAGGCAAGCCGGCGGTGAGACAGCTTAGACCAGTGAAAGGGCGTTTTAATCTATTCAAATGACAACAATCCTTAGAAATTGCTTCCAGTGCACAGCGCTCGCTCGGTAATTAAGCCCTGTCACAGTGCTGTCAGCACACCGACTCTCCCTCCCCCCCTCCCCCCCCTCTCCCTTCATCTCTCTCATCTATCGTCCCTCAACTGTCTGGGGGTTAGCTGTGTGACTCGGAGCTGTACATTTCAAATGTGATGTGTGTGTGTGGCTTTTGCGTCCATGCTGGGTTTGTTCACAGATGTGGGTTTGCAAATGTGTAGCTAAATATGTGGAAATGTATGTAGGGTTGATGTGGATCTGTCAGCAAAGCCACCTCCGGTTCCCTCCTCATCCTCACCCCCTCCCTCCCTGCGGTGTGGGGATCAGGGAGAAGGCCTCAGCTTTTCCTCCAACAAATGTGAAGCGACACCAGCAAATTGCGAGGTGCAAATTGGGCCGTATGGGGCCCTGCTTAGTATGCAGAGAGATGCAGTTTTGGCCACGAAAAGAAGAGGGGACAGAGGAGAGGAGTCCATTATGAAAGCCCTTCTATACTGTAATATGAAATAAGGGCCTCGAAACCTTCTCACTGCATTGAGGAGTGCTTTTCATAGCGTCCGTTCGCTGTTTGGTTCTGGGCTATTTGAGGTACAATGACGCGAAGTGCAACGACACCATTTCACAACATACAGTGCGCTGGAATCTCAGCGAGACTGCCTCAAAGGGAGGTTTTTGCAAAACTCACTCTGCTTTGAATCAATATATTTGCGTATTTAACACATATTTCCATATCTTCTTTCTCGCACCTCAACGCGTCAGCTCGCTCAGAAGCTGCACGCAAACGCCTCCAGTGAGTGTGAAAGTGACAAAACGCACTGACTGAGAGCGATGATGAGAAAACCCCCAGTGTGTCTAACCTGCAACAGCAGGTTGAAGTATACTTGTACTGTGTATTTGTGCTCAGCAGGTTTTCTTCGTCATGTCTCATGTACAGTCTCGGGTCTCATGCAGCGACATTAAGCTGACAGGTCCACAACCAGACACAGATGAATGTGTAACTTTTTACAGTGGAAACCTTTTATAATGATCGTGTCTGTCCAGATTATTAGAACCATTTTTATTTCCCCTTTCCATATTTATAATGCAGATTACCATCTAGTCTACACCCGTATGTTCATTAGATATAGATATAAAGTAATATAAAGATAAAGTAATCGTCAGTGCATCAGTTTTCTGTCTCCGTCTGTAGCAGCCATGACTGTTGAGGCAACAAAAGTATTTGGGTCTTCTGGGTGAAACTGTATACAGAAACAAGGTCAATGTACTTTCACACTCGTACTAATGTAATTTAAATTTCAAGCAAATATTTGTTTGACTGGACTCGCCTCGAAAACTCTTTTTTTGTGTAAAATATGACTGCTTTCTACTTTTACTATGTATTTTTCTATAAATACTTCAGTGATTCATGATTCAAATTTCACTCAAACTCTTATGTATTGTATTTAATATGTAGATATAAAGCTGACTTTATTTTTTCATCTTTTGGGCGAGACATTTATCACTATTTTCTTTTTTAATGTATTTCTCTACATAGTAGTTTCCAAGATAAGATTTTTCCCCCAGATGATTTGTGTGATTTATGATCTGACTACATTCTGATGTTGATGTCATGTTTAATACATGCTTAGTGTTTAATATTGATCTTCTTGTTTGTAGTTCGTTCATAGAGAATCTCCACCCCCCATGAGGGAGCATCAGACTTACATCGCTCATCTTTTTCGGCCCAACTTGAGAGTAGATTGATTCAAACACGCTGATCACAATCACCCGAGTGATGAATGTGTTTCTTTCTATTTCCCGCTCGTTCTGCTTTGTGAAGGCGAGTTGGTGCCTGACGAAGATCTCTTCGTACACAATTTTTTGAGTTGCACAACTCAAATAGCTGTGAGCTTTTAATACAGCGTGTGGATGTTCTGTTGGATTCTTGACTGGGCTTGATGACTAACGGCTTACTCACAACAATTGCGAAAGAGGCTCAAGACGTGGATCAACTGATATTCATAAATACTTCTTTACATATGAAATACGGTTTATCACGCCAACGCAGACATGCTGAGAACATAAACCCACGTCAGTCACAGAGGAATATGACAAAACAAACATTTAAATACGTGCCTGTCGTTCATCTGACTAAACCCAATTTCCTGAGTACTTATGAACATTATTAGACCAGACTCCATCGTACACACAAACCAATCACCCCCTCAAGTGTTTGGCTTGTGTAGTGCTATTAAAGTGCTACTTTTGGGTCTCTAAAATAACAACACTTGATGATTTGCCCTGTATTTCAATCAAAAATACAGCAAGAGAAACACGAGCGCTCATGCTCTCTGCACCAGTTATTTGTACAACATAAAAAGTTTAGCCCGAGTTCCTCTTGAGCCACTACTTTACTACTGTTCATACCTGATCGTGTCTTCTGACGCTTATTGCAAATGTGGAGGATTGCTTCATTACATCTGTTATTACAGGTAACACTTCAAAATATATAGTATCAGGCTGATGTCACTATGCACTTAAAGCCATCCATAAACCAAGCAGTCTAAGTGCTTCCCTTTTTGATTTCTGCTTTATTATAAGGGTAGACTTTTTTCCAAACCAATTAATTTAGCATAAAGCATTATGTAGAATTTGCATCTAACAACCCCAGTGAGGTAATGTGCACTAATGCACTGGTTATCAGTGCTGGTTTCCAAATGTTTATTTCAATATGCAGAAAGTTTCAGGATCCCCGAGGCCCTGATTAAGAATTCATTAATTCTTTTTTTGTTTCTTGTGTTGTAAATTTGTCACAGCTTCAGAGGCGAGCAGCTGCATTAGAGTCGTACTTCTGAACAGAGAGACTTTAATCAGCATTAGGTAGAATGATGTTACTTCTGTTATCTCTCATTTTATGGTCCCAAAAAAATCTGTTTCCCTGCTGCCCGCTAATGTGCTCCCTCCGTCACCAGACCTGGAAGCTATACCTGCTCAATATGTTTGCCCGCATGGCAGCGGGTACATTGTGTTAGCATCGGGAGCGGGTCCAGTTTGGCTCATGGAGGTGGACGATGGGTTATTATCTACAGGAACAGGGACAGGAGAGTCAGGCTGGGTGTCACAGAGACACAAATATATCTATAAATGAAACACGCACACCTCCACTGAACCGACTGCAGTGAGGCTGTACTGTATGTGTGTAACGCTATGCTGACCACATTTAAACCAGAGACTACAAACTACACACACAAACGCAGACTTGGGATTTACATGAAATAATTCCAAGGAAGACAAAAAAACAACTAATTGCAGACCAACTAAGTGCATCAAACACACTAAGTTACAGAGTGGGAGGACAGAAGAGAGAGAGAGAGAGAGAGAGAGAGAGAGAGAGAGAGAGAGAGAGAGAGAATAAGAAAGTAACAGAGTCACAGAAACAGAAAGAAAAGATAAAAAGTAAACAGTGTGTTTTCTCCCCCTTCAGATCTTCAACCTATCCTCTGCTGATTTCTTCTCCCACTCGCTGACAGTGACGCTCAAAGCCCGACATCACATCAACCTCTTCAAATATTTAGACATTACTCAACTCGGCTTCTCTTTTTTCTCGCCCGTTTTCTCTCCGTCAGGCACGGGGAGAGAGGCAGGGGGTATGTTTCAGCGATTAATATTCCCACAGACTTCAGTGAGCGCCTTTTATTTCCTAACTGCCGCTCACTGAAGTCTGTGGGAATATTAATCGCTGAAACATACCCCCTGCCTCTCTCCCCGTGCCTGACGGAGAGAAAACGGGCGAGGGGGGGGGGGGAGTCAGATGAGAGGGAATCAAAAGGTGAGAATGTGAGGAGAATGTGAGAGCGGCTGTGGAATTATTAATGGTTGTTACGAGTGCAGTATTGATGAATGGAACATCTTAATAGTGTGATTCTCACAATTAGGAGTAATGGATGTTACAGTGAAACATCTCTGGAGCGCAGCATGAATGACTGATGTCAGTCTGAAGGCTCATTCTGCGTAATTAGCCCACAGACGTGTCCTCGCACACTGATGGAGGAGGCCAAGGTAAAAGGGAGGGCAGCGGGGAGGCCTGTACAGTAAACGGGCAAAAAGACAGTTCAATCAAAGCGTAAACAGTGTGTATCGGTGGAGACGGCACACACAAGCAACATATCTGTGTATTTACTGCAGCAGTATTATTCTAAAAGGAACGGGCCGGTATTATAATGCACACCAACCCAGTCGCCATAAAAAAACAATGTTTGCATTGTACATTTCTGCAAACCTGGGGAACGATGAACGTCGACGTTTCTGAACCAAAAATGAGTTTTGTGTCATCCTGCAGAAACGCACAATGTCACATGAGACGGTTAGGATTAGGCAACAAAACTACTTGTTTATGGTACAAAACAATATCATGGTTTGTGTTCAAATAATAACTAAAGCGTAACTACATCACAACCAACTCTCGAGCGAAATGTAACTTTAAAATAACGTTACGTAATAAGCGTACGGTCGATGTTCACTTTTGGTTTC